GAGGTCTGAAGAGTTGCATTGGTTTGAGTTAGGTTTGCTTGGGGACAAGCAAATGGTTAAGTGCGGGGGAGTTTGATAGACCGTTAATTGCACATGTTTTTACCGCTATTCTTGAGCCGTTGGAGATGTCGATTCTCGTGTTTTAGACCGATTTCACTCTAGGTTGTTCTTGTTTGTGATATTTCAGGTCCTAGTACGTGAATGAAGGTTTAGGGACGAGTTCGGGGTCGATTGGATGAAGATTGGACATGTGGCGTGAAGCTGATGGAGCCACACGGGCACACCTAAAACCTACACGGCCGTGTGGCACCAAATTGCACGGGCAAAGTCACACGGGCCGTGTAGGGGACCCCCTGTGGCCGTGTGGAAATTCCAGGGAACTCACACGGGCATCCTGGAATTCCACACGGTCGTGTGGGTCGTGGCCGTGTAGGAAGCTTGAGTCACTTATCAAAACTCCGCGGTTTGCACATCTCACACGGGCAGCTAGGGATGTCACACGGCCGTGTGGCCTGCCCGTGTGAGTCGGGAAATTCTGGGTTTTTAACCCAATTTGCAGCCAAAGGAAAGGAGTTCCGAGTTTTAGAGAAAGAAAGCGGTTCCTAGAGAGTGAAAGCAACGAACCAGAGTTCCCAAGTGCCCTAGCTTGATCTTCATCACCATTGGAGCTCGGCTCACACTTGGAGAAGTGCCGATTGACGACCAGGAGTAGAAACCCATCCTTCACAGCATGATTTCTGCATCTGAGCTTGCTTTTGCTTCTCTCTCCATGGATTAACTTCCTCATTCATCTGGGTATGGAGAACCCTAGATTTGTATGTTAGGGATGATTGTATGAACCCAAGTACAGATTCTATGATTTGATTATATTCAATTGAGGTTTGATTTATTGAATGGCATGAATCCTGATCAAATTCATGTTGTTTCTGCTTTAGCCTAGAAAGAGAATATCTACCTAGGTTGATAGAGTACCCTTAATTGACGGTAGTGAATTGGTGACTTTAGTCGAGGAGACAATTCACTATTTTGTACCGAATTTACTTCGGTAGTGGAGGTTTTGTTCGTTAGGGCCTCAATCTGTTTACTCTGGTGGAGGTTAGTCACCCGCTGGGGACTCAGATTGGGAGAGTCTGGAGACCTTTAGTCGAGACTTCAGACTGCTTAAGAACCTCCCGCAGTATAACTATCATTAAAACTGAACTTGGTAAATTGCAATCCGGCTTAACTGCAGTCTAGGGGGAACCATATCCGGGTGACCTCTCTCGACTTGAAAACAACCTTCTTGCTTGCTTTGCTTGTTTGCTTGTTTGAACCTGCACTAGAGTTTCACCGCTAAATAATAAGAATTCACTGAGTAGTCATCACATCTAGGACCCGGGTTGACATTAAAACCCAAACTACGCTTTAGGAAGTGGTTGCACTTGCCCATTTTCTAGAGTAACAGTAGGAGTAAGTCACCGGTCTTTTTGAAAATATAAGGACCAAAGATTGGATTGGATACAGTCTGGTCTTGATCCGGTCCGGTCCCAATTCGGTTTTGATTTTATATTGAGCTTGTGGGAATTTGAGTGGCCTAAGGCCTAAAAGGGTGAGGAGTTGGTTAAGTTTTGTACTAAGTGCAAAGGTTTGTGACAATTTATGCAAATTACCCTTAAGTTTTGGGTGTTGAGCTCTCTTATTCGGTCTTTATCCAGTTTTTGATTCGGTCCCGAACGGTTTTTTACCTCAAATCTAAGCCTAAAGATTGGATTGGATTGTTTACTATCCGGTTGTCCGGTCTCGATCCGGGTTATACGGTCCGGTTTCGGGTAAAACCAAAAAACTCGGACCAAATAGCCAGCCCTACCTGCTAAGATGATATCATCAACATACACAAGTAACACAACCAACCTGCCTTGGACCCTTTTAGTAAACATTGAATAATCAGAAGCTGATTGTGAGAAGCCATTTTTTATCAAGGAGTAGGTCAGTTTGGCAAACCACTGGCTACTGGCTTGTTTTAAACCATATAGTGACTTCGTCAACCTGCAGACCTTCCCTTCACTACCTTCCAATCCAGGTGGTGGTGTCATGTACACCTCTTCATCCAAATCTCCATGCAAAAAGGCATTTGTTGAGATTGTTACTATAATGTATTGTTTAGAATTCATCATTTTTTTTTTATTTTTTGGTAAAACAATACATGGATTATATTTGTGATGTGACTGAAACTATCACTCAAAATGAGTGATTGTTATATCTCAACTTTTAGTTGTGATTGTTGAGATAGTTGAGTTGAGATTGTTTTGTCTCAACTTTTACTTGTGATTGTTGAGATAGTTGAGTTGAGATTGTTTTGTCTCAGCTTTTAGCTTATGTGACATACACAATGCATCTAATCCGACAATACATATATAATATTATACATGCTTTCATAATAAAACATTTGTTTAACAATCACAACTTTCAAACGACCCCTTAAAATTCTAAATCAATATTATCATTTGGATGATTTTATTTCTTAATACGATTATGGTCATTTCTGAGATTTAAGGGTATTTGATAATGTCAATACTTTAGTGGTCTTTTATTTAAAATTTGAATTGAAAGATCGTATCTACTAGCGGTTCGACCATAAAGCTCACAGCCTAGGCTATATCGATATGTGATATTTAGCAATATGAAACGGTTGAACCACACTTAACTTATGATTTCAGTATAAAATACTCTACTACTAAATTTTTTGATACTATTACAATCATTTGGTTCAAAGAATTCTTTTACGAAGTAACAAAATTTTTAAGGCACATTTTGAACTATCTATTGCAAAAAAAAAAAAAAAAGACAGTTAGCGATTATGAGAATATGCGATCACATTCAACCCAAAAGACACTTTGCAACTTCTATATTTTTAAAATAAATGTATGATACTTATACCCTCGCTCATTCATCAACTTAATGAGTTACATATATTTCATGTGATATGATTTTCATAGGTTTTTATTTGTTGAATTATTTCATGAAAAAATATTTGTTGCATGAAAATTACTGCATTGTTGCTAAACATGACTGCGATCTGAGAATAATTTGGGAAATCCATACACAACACATTGTCCAACTAAATATTAGGAACAATTTAGCATCATGTCTTATATATTTCAAATCAAGTAACTTCAGATTCATTACCAACGGTGTGGTAAAAAAAAATGCTCTCTATTGGTAGAGACATTTTCTTTCATCTTAAAGGTTGATTATGTATGTATTATGACAAACAACTCTAATATTTAACTATATGCTTTAATTATGTAATGAATGACAATTAGTTATATTTATTTCATGTTCATTCAATAATTTTAAGTAATACTTATATTATATTTTTTTCTCTTTTCATGGAGGTCTAAACACATTATGCATAGTTGGATCACTTTCAAATATGTTATGTGCATAACTAAAGTAGAAAACAATCATTTTATGAGTTTCAAATCATCTATTATATATTCACTATTATATATCTTATTTTCTCGACAAATTTCATTCTACCACTACAAAAGAAGGGAGCTATACCAAGGGTTATGTAGCAGGGGTTTGTTAAACCCCTGGTAATATTTTAGAAACTCATTATACTGGCAGTTTTATTCCAAGGGTTTTGGAACCCCTGCTAGTGCAACTCTCTTTCAATACCAACCCCCATTCTTTCACGACACAAAAATCCCTTTCTCAAAAAATAAAATTAAAAAAATCCTAGGATCTGCCCACCGCCGTTCTTTTCTTTTGAGTCCGACTCCCAGCTCGATATTGTTGCCGGGATCTGCCCGCCGCCACTCCACTCTGTTTTCTACTTTCTTCTCTCCGATCGAGTTCATCATAATCTGAATCAGCCCACTTCAGCTCCACTTCACTTTACGTATTAGGTCCTTCTCATTCTTCCTGTTCTCCGGCAATTGGGTCCAAGTGGAATTCGATTCCGATTTTGAATCCACCTTCATATGCGTTGGGTGAAGTCCCATGGAAGTTCAGATTGAGTAGTTGAAACAGGGGAAACAAGCTGGAGTGGGGAAATTTTCCATTCAATTGGTGGGTAAGAAATTCGCCATTCAATTGGAGTGATTAAGAAGAAAAACCAATGATCCGTGAGCAACTTCCTACTAACAGCAGACGACGATGATCCGTGAGCAGCTCATGTGCTTGGCTGGGGACAGAGCTCATGTCCTCCACTATTTTTAAAGTGACCAGAGCTCTGCTTCGTTCCCCTTTGATGTTTGTTGGTTGCGCCTCGTCTCTAGTTCTCGGGGAACATCTGCCGAGTCTCTCCATCAACTCGGTTTTCTTTCTTCTTCTATTCAGGTAAGTGTCCATTGCTTTACTTGCATTTATGCGATTGTCATTAGTTTTTAGGCCTATAAAGCAAAGGAAGGAGATCTTGAAATCATTATTTGGTAATCTAAGTAAGTTATCATGGTTATGTAAGTGAACTCTCTAAACAACTCTTGAATACAAAAATAAAGGTAATGATAGGTTGAAATTAGCATTCGAGCAGGATCCAAGTATCCATGTATGTCAAATTCTATCTTTATATCTCAATATATACTCTTTTCCGTGCACTATAGCTTAACAAACATATACCATTTCAAATACATTTCTTGAAAAACCAATTTTGGTACTATTAAGCATTCTTCATGAAGCTACATCCCTGTTCCTCCCTGGAACGACCTGACTGCCTTCTCCAGGCAGAATCCCACTACCAAACCCATCAATCCTGCTGTCATGACAATGCCTGCCGATTCACTCCTCTTGATCATCTTCAACTTCGTCACAACCCATCAAAGAACTCCCTGTAGTTCAACACTACACCAGAGGAAGAACCTTCATTAGTTGTTTCCCTAAGCAGTAGGAGTAGTATGTATATGCATAGTTGCCATCATCACTTGTTTATATAACATGTCAATGAAATTCCAAGTTGCTTTTCCACTAATAACAATGGTTTGGTTTCCATTTTTGCAGCTGTGAGTTCCTTTTTCAGAATGGACAAGAGTTGGATGAAAAAGCATAGAACAAGTGTTGAATTTAAAGACGGAGTTCAACTTTTTCTGGATTATGCATTTCGAAATGTTTCACATGTATCAAAGGTGTTGTGTCCCTGTGTCAAGTGTGCAAATGTTTATGCACAAACATATGATGATATTCAGGTACATCTCATTTGTGATGGTATTCTAAGAGGGTATACAACGTGGGTTTTTCATGGAAAAACTTTCCAAGCTAGTGATGTTGCCACTTCTTCTTCCTCAATGACAAATGTTTCAAATATGGGTGTGGAGAGAGTATCTATTCCTATTCAATCAAACCCACCAATGAGAGCAGATTTGAGGGGGTTGCTTCGTGATGTCTTTCGCCGTGAAGATCTAGTGAACGATGAAGTACCTTGTGAGCAGGATGAAAACTTCTTGGAGGATAGTGAGGGAGAAAATGATGATCGTGATGAAGTGACAGATGATCCATTACAGAATACTCGTGAAATAGAGAATTTGATAAAAGGTGCAGATGAAGAGCTTTATCCGGGGTGCAAAACATTTTCAAAGCTATCATTTCTAGTGCATTAATCCCGAGGTTATTTTCCATTAATCCCGAGGTTACAAAGACTATTTGCTTCTAAGAAGACGGCAAAACACATGAGGTGGCATGATGAATGTCGGAAGAAAGATGGGTTGTTGCGACATCCGGCCGATGCAGAAGCTTGGAAGGCATTTGATGCTAGACACCCCAGTTTTGCCTCTAATTCACGCAATATCAGATTGGCTCTTAGCAGTGATGGGTTTAGTCCGCATCGAACAATGAGAACAAGCCACAATACATGGCCTGTGGTGTTGATACCTTATAATATGCCTCCATGGATGTACTTGAAGCAATCTGCTTTCATATTGTCAATGATCATTCCTGGACCCAAAGGTCCAGGAAATGATATTGATGTCTACTTAGAGCCAATGATTGAAGATTTGATTCGACTTTGGGAGGGGGTGACCACTTATGATGCTTCTACAAAGCAGAATTTTAATATGCGTGCTTCTTTAATGTGCACCATAAATGACTTTCCTGCATTTGGTAACTTATCTGGACGGAGCACATATGGAAGATTTGCTTGTCCTGTTTGTTGTGAATCCACATGTTCGAAAAGGTTAGACAAGAGTGGAAAGTTTTGTGCTCTAATCTAGGCGTGACAACTCCTAGCACTTGACTGCAAATCATCGTCCTCCGCTCCTGTGCTCTAATGTTTGGCCATTAGTTCAGATCCCTATTTCGTTATAAACTATGGATCATCCGTGGTGAAAAAAGCTTAATGATGGCCAGCTTATGTTTCTTTTTTGTTTTGTAGAATCTTATGTTTTACTTTACTGTAATTGAGGTAGAGCATACTGCTTATGGATTTTTTGTTCCATTAACGTTTATGATGGTTTGCAGAGGAATGGTGTTTTTTTATATTATATATTGTAGAGGATGATGGTATCCGAAGGAGTTTTCTTGCTTAGAGATATTGGGCTTTTATGTTTTGCTAGCCTCGGTTGTCTCTGCTTTTTAATAATAATAGTTGTGCTAGCTTGTTGGTATCATTTTCAAGTGGCTTAAGTTTCTTAATCTCTTATAGCAATTTTGTTAGAGGTAAATGTTGATGATTCTTTTTCTTTTCTTCAGGGTGCCAGTACTGCCCCATCTTTGGGTTCTCGAGCTTCTTGATGCCGTGCTGCTCTTAGATGAAGGATGTTGAATCATGAGTTTATCATGTAGGTTCTTTTGAGTAATATTCTAGTAGGTTGTTATGTTTTTATGGATTGCCAATGATGTTAGTAGGGATTATATTATGGTACATGGAATGTTTGAGGTAAATGATGAATCATGGTACGGATTATGAAATATTGACGGTTTTGTATGGTATGTATGGTACGGATTAGTGAAAGACGATATGAATTTGGTCGCTATTGTATATTAGGTTCTGAGTTTGTTTGTATAGTATTTGCAACCAAGTTATAACCACCAGTTTTGGTGGTCCTATTTAGTGACAGCTTTGAATTTATTTTTAGTGACAGCTTTGCATTCTCTTTAGGGATGGTCTGATTTCGTCACAATTTTTTTTTTATATTAGCCACCAATTAAGCAGGGGTTTAAACCCTTGGAATAAATGTAATTCAAATGAAGCTATAACATTCACTAGCAAGGGTTTTGACCGTAACTAATTTAACAACGCAGTAACTAATTTAACAACGCATGTAGCAGGGGTTCTACCCCTTGCTATGCATAGCGGCGGTTTTAACCCCTGCTAAAACCCCTGGATGGTACTTCCACCGTGGGTTTCTCAAAACCCTTGCTATCCATAGCAGGGGCAGCATAGGTGAGGGTTGATCCAGGGGTTGTACAAGTGAACGGCTATTTGCCGCCAACCAAATTACTATTTGCCGCCAACTAAAATTTTTTTTTTGAATTTTCCCTTCCTTCCCAGTGCCTCCGTCGCCGGCATCGTTCTTCCGTCGTCGGCTAACCTCCCGTCGCCCTCAATCGTCGGAAAACAAGTAAGTTTTTTCCGGCCAGTTTTCCAGTTTTCCGGTAAGTTTTCCAGTTTTCCGGCGCAAAACACGGCGGGCCGAAAAAAAATTGCGGCCGGAACGCCGCCGAGCAGAAAAAAATTTGCAGCCGGGGCGACGGCCGGCCGAAAATTTTTTTCGGCCCGGCGACGCCTCGGCCGCAAATTTTTTTGGCCGGTCGCCGAACACGCCGGCCAAAAATTTTCCGGCGGCGTGTTCAACGGCCGGCCGAAAAAAAATTGCGGCCGGAGCGACGTCGGGCAGAAAGAATTTTTTTCGGCCGGTCGCCGAACACGCCAGCCAAAAATTTTCCAGTGGCGTGTTCGTCGGCCGGCCGAAAAAAATTTGCGGCCGGAGCGACGTCGGGCCGAAATAATTTTTCGGCCGGGCGTCGCACCGGCCGCAAATATTTTTCGGCCCGGCGGCGCACCGGCCGCAAAAGTTTTTCGGCCCGAGTAATTGGGTTTCAGGCTTCCCACACGGCCAGGGGCACACGGCCGTGTAGCTCACCCAGCCTGGCCGTGTGAAGTCTCGCAGAATTCCACACGCCCAAAGTGCAACTTCACATGGCCGTGTAGCTCACCCAACCTGGCCGTGTGAAGCCTCGCAGAATTCCACACGGCCAAAGTGCAACGTCACACGGTTGTGTGAGTTGTGTGTGTGGTCGTGTGGCTTTCTTTTTGACTTGCCTCGCGCCCGATCTTCGTCCAATCGACCCCGAACTCGCTCGAAATCCATAATGAAATCCATAAGTTCATAATGACACTAGGGTCATTAAAAATACAACTAGAAAAACAACAACATATAAATAGAGCATTGCAACACTATGCATTGCTCCTACCCCTACCCCTTCCCCTAGCTCTTCGGGGGTCTCTCTACCTGGCTCGTTGCCGACCACCAAGGGTTTAGGGTTCAGGGTTCAGGGTTTAGGGTTCAGGGTTTAGGGTTTAGAGTTTAGGGTTCAGGGTTTAGGGTTCAGGGTTCAGGGTTTGAAACACATGGTTCGTGTAGCACTTTGCCCACATTGTCTGATGAGGCAACCGCCGGAATTTTTCGGCCCGGTCAGGTTCCGACCGCCGGAATTTTTTGGCCCACCGTCTGTTCGTTTCAAATCGTCGGAAAAATTGTTCGAAACTACAAAAAAAAAAATACGCACCTGCTTAGTGATGATTCATGGATGCGTGTACGCAGTATATGTCGAGGATAGGCTTTCCCGATGATTTTCCGGCGACTTTTCCGGCGAGCGTTGAATTTTTCTGATTCAATATGTTCTCTGAAAGTTGGATATGTTGTAGATTGTGAAACTCCTTAATAAAAGATGTATACATATACCTTCTTTTTTCATCGATGATTTTCCGGCGAATTTTCCGACGAGCGTTGAATTTTTCTGATTCAATACGTTCTCTGAAAGTTGGATATGTTGTAGATTGTGAAACTCTTTAACCAAAGATGTATATATATACTTTTTTTTTTGTTGGCGGCAAATAGCAAGCCCCTTGTACAAACCCTTGCTACAATTTATAGCAGGGGTTAAAACCCTTGCTACAGGCCAATAAAACCCTTGGTATAGCTCTTTTTTTAGTGTACCAACATGTCGGACCCTGTGCTAGTACTGACTATGCCACTAACCGCATAAACAATTGTGGTCGATGATTGGTTTTGGTTGGAGTAGTTGAGCTGCCGCTGAAGAGAAGAAATGGGAGATCTGTTTTGGTGTTCTGCCTTGTAATATTGTGCATTGACTATGTCAGTGGTACTGCCGTGTAAGATTGCAGTTGAGTGTTTGTTTCACGTTTGAATCCCATTAACACCGAAAGTGAATGGTCAGTCGGCCATGGTACAACAACGCAATTGTGAATGACTAATACATGGAAATTATGGAGTTTGATATTTTCGGCATTTTTAATCTACCAAAGCCATCAAAGTCCAACCCTATGTGGTTGAGTTTTAGTAGAAGGGTTTATATAGCTAACAATAATCAGCTGAGTAACAAGAAGAAGAAAACTATTATTAAAAGCCGAAGTTGATCGAGCGCCTCGGTTTTCTGTGAACTAGCTAGTTAGTTTCACACCAAATGAAGAAAAAAACACACAGTAAATCTCCTGTCTTATTTGATTCATTATTACTTCTTCGAAGTTTTCAAATGATCACATTCAATCCAATGATTGTTCATAGTTCATAGCCTAAGAACCAAATAGACATGATTGACACTAAGATAATTTAATTATGGATGCCAAAAATTCAAATAGTCATAGTTCACACGAATTACTCATAATTCACACTCCAATTAACTTAGGGGTCGTTTGGAGAATGAGATTTAGGGCGTGGATTCATTGAATCCGTAGATTTTGTAGAAAGTTATGTTTTTTTGTTGTTTTTTGTATTGTGGATTTGAGCTTTAGAAATTTCAAATCTCTAAAATCTACGGATATAAAATCTCTCATAATCAGAGAGATTTTATATCTTGATTCGTGAGATTTTTTTTCCTCCTACTTTTTCTCTTTATTTTATTTATTTATCATATTAAATATATTTATCAACAAATTTTTTAATATTTCTCGAACCACTCTAATTTTTTATTATGGATAAACACGTTATTTAATATAAAATAATTTTTTTATTTTCATTGAATGTTAACAATCACAGTTACCAAACAATAAACATTTTAAAATCTATTTTCAACAATTCGAAGAGTTAGAATTTTTAGATTGTTGACAATCTATAGATTTAAACTCATATTCTCCAAACGACCCCTTAGAGTCAAAGAAAAGATCGATAGGTCTTCATAGATTACCAACCGCTTGATCAAAAATAAAATTAAAATCTCTATATATGTTTCTTGAATCATTGCTTGGAAGCCTTTTTTTTAACAATTTGTGATCCAAATCGACCTTATATCTCCCCTTGATTCACCTCCTCCTCTTTCCCACCCTTAAAATCAGCCGATCGATCTCCAATGAACGAAACTTCCAAAAAGCCCTTCGATCTCCTCGAGCGTCTTCCCTTGCGTCTCAGGGTAAAAGAGGAAAAAGAAGACGAACCCAACCACCGAAACCCCGGCGAAGAGGAAGAACGCCCCTCCGATCGTGATGGCCTTGTAGAGCGACAAGAATGTCATCGAGATCGCCCCACTCACCACCCGATTCACCACCATCCCCAAACCGATCCCTTGCGCCCGCAACCGAAGCGAGAATATCTCCGCGCTGTATACCAACGTGACCGGCCCCGCTCCGATCGAGAAGAACGCCACCGCCGACAGCACCATGGAAACGGACACAATGACCGCCCACCGAACCGTTTCGGTCGGGTCCCGTTCGATGACCGTGAGGCTGGTTGCGAGCGTGGCCAGCGAGACGAACACCCCGGCGTAGCTCGTCAGAAGCAACGGCCGCCTGCCGACTTTGTCCAGTAGAATCATCGCCACCAGGACGAAAACCAACTTCATTACTCCCATTGCCACCGTGGCCAGGAGCTTCTCGTTGTTCGATGTGATTCCTGCTTTCTCGAAGATTCTCGGGCTGTACAAGATGACGGTGTCGAAGCCGATGGCCTGCTGGAAGAAGTGGATCCCTAGGGCGCACAGCAACACGTGGCGCACGCGGCGGGTTGGGTGGATTAGAAGGTCTTTCCACACGCCTTCCCCGGTGGTTCGTTTTTGGCCCGCAACGACGTCGTTGTGGTCTCTTGGGATCCCCGCGGCTTCCTTGATATCTTCTAGTCTGCGTCGTGATTCTTCCATGGTATCTGAAATCTTGTCCAATACTCGTCTGGCATCTGCGAGTCGGCCTTGCATTACAAGCCAGCGAGGGGATTCCGGCATGATTAAGGCGCCGACGGCGAGGATGACAGATGGGACTGCCCCGATTCCTAGCATGAATCGCCACCCTTGGTTTGCTGGAAGCTTCGAGAATCCGTAGTTTGAGACATACCCAAGTAGAATTCCGACGTTATTAAAAACCTGGAAGAAACAAGATTTACACGCGATACGAACAAAATCAGAAACGAGCGAATGCAAAAAGAATTCACGATTGAGAAATTTGAGTACAGTCGCTAGTCACGTTGGGTGACAAAACATCTTATTCACTCTTTTTTTTTTTCATTTATTCGTGGTCTATTTGTGTTATTAACGTCATATTTGCGTTATTCACAGAAGTGTGTTGATTATACACGTAATTAATATAGTTAGTTCACGCAACCCAATGTTTATTCACGCTGTTGTTAAATAAAATTTTAAATTTTGAAATATATCAAAATGGATGTCATTGTATAGATGTGATAAATACAACACATTTTTACAGATTAATTCAAAGTCCAAATTTAATTTCATAAAATATAACCAATGCAAATTGTTAGGGGGAAATTCTGATTTTCCATTTACGTGAATAACCAACACTTTTATGTGAATTAACCATAATATTACACAAATAAACACCAAAATGGCGTGAAAAAGTTTATTTTAAATGTTTTTGTCACCTAACCTGAGAAGAGAGTGATTCCCAGAAGTTTATAACAAATTCAGTAAAACGTTTTGAAAAAAAAATACACTATAAAAAATATTGGTATATAAAAAAGTTGATAAAATATTAACGAAAGCATTGTATTGTATTCACCTCAGGAAAGGTAGTTAGGAATCCACGGTAGGATGCAGGGGCCACTTCGGCGGTATAGACGGGTGCAACCGTGCAGGCGAAACCGACGCCGATCCCGGCGAAGAAACGGCCGATCATGAGGAAGGTGTAACTGGTGGAGAGGCCCATAAGCAGGGCCCCGGCAAGGAAATTAGTGGCGGCTATGACGAAGGTGTAGCGGCGGCCGATCCAGTCGGAGCTTCGGCCGGCGGCGATGGAGCCGAAGAGGGAGTAGATGTTTAGGGTTCCCACCAACAGTTCTACTTGGACGTCGGAGATGCTGAATTGGTCTTTGATGTAGATCACCGCGCCACTCATCACTCCAATGTCTGGAATGAAGGGCAAAACATGAATCACGTACGTCTGGTGTATGCTAGTCTTATAATACGATACGATACGTGCGTATAATTAAGTAATACAGTACCACAAGAGGGGGGAACTGAGATTAATGAAGTACGTTACTGACCATAACCAAGTAAGGCGTTAGCCACGGAAGCCATAATTGCGCAGATGAGAGCGAACTTGTTTATCTTGGGTTTCTTGAGATGACCATGATCATTATCAGCCACGGTTTCGCTGCAACAGGAAATTCATAGAGATTTCATTTCAGTGAAATACATTATACAAGTGACTCGAAGACGATAGAAAGAATGATTGACTTGGTTTTGAACAAGAATGTCATCCACAGACTCCTCTGTGTGTGTTTGTTACACAGCTTTGGTCAATCAATGGCCACTCCAGAGCTGCGATTCACTAAAGCATCGAGTTTCTCAAATTGATAATTAATTCAACTAATTTTTTTTGCTCGGAATAGAGTGTCCGGATCTCGTCAGTAATCAGCTATTAGTAATGAGCTATGTGAACCATACTCTTCAATATTGAATGAGTGATAAATCATGAATGATTGTTTGATTAAATATATTGAGATTGACATCGTCTGAATGTGTCTTACAAGTTTTGCGAAACACAAAAAATACCGTGAGAAAAATGTCTAATTTAAAGTAAAATCATAAGTAATTTGTGTAAAATTACATATAATTTAAGCAGAAAATTAATCGAAACTAGAACATATCAGGTCGATGAGAATAGTCCTATCTTTATCTAAAACGGGGCAAACAAATCCTGTAAAACGGCTCACGTCTAAACAAAGCCGGAGATATTAATTGTGAGGAATTTTACAATACTATATAGCATTGGTGCTATAAATTTTTTCTTTATGGTACAACTTGAAATTGTACTTTTAACGTTATGGTACAACTTCATATTTTACTTATACTTTTTGTACAAATTCTTTTATGGTACAACTTAAACTTGTACCTTATGTGATGGTACAGCTTCAAGTTGTAAAATTGTATAATGATGCAAATTTCTTTATGATACAACCTAAATTTATACATTTAATGTTATGATACAACTTTAAGTTGTACATTAAAACACCAATACTATATATAACGTAGTAAAAGTGCTACCTCTATGAAAAATCGTACCAGAATCATATTCTGATTCCCTCTCAACGTGTGGTCCTTCTATTATGTTGTGGTTAATTTCTTATTTTATTATCATTGAAATTTTGGTTGAATTCTTTTCTATAAAACAACTTTTTCCCCAAACTGTGGGGGCTTCTATTTCTTCAATGATTCCCTTTCCGCATTATGTCAACACCCCTAAAAATGGACCCTAGTCTAATTAATTTCATTTCCACCCCTTTCTCTGTCATCTAACTCATCATCTTAATTCCCCAATTATTTCTCCACCCATTACTGCTCTCCATCTTCTTCTTCTTTCCCTTCATCCCCAAAGTTTCTGAGTTTGCAATTTAACCGGCAACAAGAAACGGCTGCTCTCCAGATCTCTACCGCACCTTTCTCCAAGGAAACAGCGGTCATCGTCTTGGAGCCGCAGTTGTTACTTTGGCCATAATATCATACACACACACACACAAAAGAAAGATGTCTGAAATAAGTGCAGAAATTTTTTACCTGTTTTCCAACGTAACATAATTCCCACTTGGGAAAATTGAGAATCGCAAAATTTTGAACACAAATTTTCTACAATCCGCGATTCTGCGCTCTCCAAAACCCAATCATCTACCCCCACAACACAATTGAACCAATGTAGTCCTCGATCGATCGGAATCAAACATTCAACCTCAGACTTAAATTCTAACATTTACAATGAACCGGATCGAGGTACGTACCTGCATACATTCCGCAGCGGATTTCTCTCTATAAGCTGCTCATGAGAGTCATCCAAATTGTTTCCCCCGCCGAAGTTCGAGTAGCCCATCGAATCTCTCTCACTCGGAAGGATACTGTGTGTTTGGAGCTTTTGGTTTTGTTTTGGTAAAGGAAAACTGTGTGTTGGGTTTGGGGATGGATGATTGAAGCTGCGGCAGAAGAGTAGAAATGGAGGGGGTTTTTTTTTAGTGCGCAATTGCTAGGACAGTGGTACTGTCTTTTGGTTGTTGAGTATTTTGGGTTCACGTTTAATACCCTTAACTGGATGGATGGTCCCGCGTACGTCTGGACCGGGCAAGAGGAGGAGGCCTGATATTTTGTGAAGAGTGAAGACTACTGGGGCTAACGTAAAGCTTCTTGATTTCTTCAATAAAGTCAAGAGCTACTGCTCCACCGACAGTGAAGGGTCAGTGGGCCATGGTAGTACAACGACGCAAATGGTTGATGATTAGTGCATGGATTTGATCGCTCAACATTGCAATAAGTAGTAAGTACAGTTTGGTTAATAATAGTCTTTCAATAATCAAATTGGACATGCTGTCAGCCATTATCATTTGAAGAGAGTGCACCCAAACGTAACAACTTTACCTACCCATCATACATCAAAATTACAATTTTCTTTTAAGGCTGTATAATTTCACTCACGGCAGAGTGTTTGAAACAATACAATCACTTTTTTTAGAAAAGCACAAGCAAAACGGGTGGTCTATCTTTATAAAAAAAAAAAAAAAAAACTAGGTGGTCTATCCAGTATCCACCTAATGTCGTAGCCAGATTTTAAGTTCACTGGAGTCCTTTAAAATGTACTGACACTAAAGTCTGTGTATTTATTGAAATCGGAACACATAATGGAGAAATTCTAGGGATTCAGAGAATTTGGGGAACAGACTAAGGAAGGAGAGGAATACGCAGATGCAGTGTCTATGACACTCGTATTAAGTTTCCCCGTCAGTCTGGGCCCAAGAATTTCTCAGCCCAAAAGGACTTAAGAGAACAAAACACAGTGGGCTCTAGTGAGGGAAGTAACGAGTCTCTCAAGCCCAGTAAATGTCAAATACTGAGGAGTAAACTTTTTTCCTCTTTCCTTGAGCAGAACAAAACCAAAAATGGGACACAGAGCAAAGTAAACAGAAAACCAAACCACACGACACAGCTGGAAAATAAAGAAAGCACAGGCAATTTTAACGAGGTTTCCCAATCTACGGGCTAGTCCTCGTCCTAGAGATAGCACTTGCTACGTTCTGGGAGATTTTTTTTTTTATTTGATGCTTTCACCTATAAAAGCAAAATGAAACAAATTACAAAGAACTCAAAGAAGAACCCAGATCAAATCACAGACCTGTCACCACCCTTAAGTGATCAGAACCTATTCCTCTGATTGCCCAAGTTCCTTAGAATCCCAGAAGCCCTGTAGCACAACTATTCTAAGTGTTTGATTATAATTGAAAGAGTACAATATATAGGTTGTTCTTAAGTAGCCGATGAAACCCAGAAAAGGAAGGTGAGCAAATTCTGACGAGACTTCCGTTTCTCCTCCTTTGATTTAGCAACGGTCTTGAAAGTTCAATCCTGACTTGATGTACTCCAACAATCTCCCCCTAAGTTAGAGATTGGCGATTGAACAGCCTGCAAACAAATTCACAAGCACAACAAGGTAAGCCCAACACTCAAATAATAGCAGGAGCAAAATAAACCAAATCCAACCTCATAAAAGTAGCAAACACAACCAAACGATGTCCAACAACCCAAGTTCAAAAGAAAGAAATCTCAAAACACAACCCCCCCCCCCCCCCCCCCCCCCCCCGAACTAAGCAACAATAGAAAGTACCTAGTGCAAACTAGATAAAATCTCCGGATGCATAGAGATCTTCAAGAACAGCAGCGTAGTCTGAATCAATGGAGTGACTTAGTGCAGACTCAGAATCAGATCCATACAGCTCCTGAAGTGCTGTTGCAAAAGGTTCCAGGCCGCCAGCATTGCCACCGTCATCATCTGAATCAGAATCTGATTGAGAGTCGGAAAGCCAGATAATGTTGACGTGAAGAGGTTCCTCCCCCTCAATCTCAATCTCCATCTCATCGAGAATCTTGTCCGCCGTCAGCCAAAGATTAGGAGATTTCGTTCGAAGCAACGAATGGTAAGGGAACAAGATGGTTGTGGTCGATGAACGAAATCAAAGCTCCAAAGAACAGATGAGAGTAGTCCAATGGAACAACAAAAGTGGCATGGTTCATGATCCCAGGTCCAACAGAGTTACCTTATCAAGCTGGTCATGGCGAGGTAAAAAGATACGAGAGATAAAATAGTGGAAAACCTGCATGACATGAAGCAGCACAATAGATGGAGGGGCCGTCAGGACCAGGAACTTGTCCCGGAGACGAAGCGCCTCATTCTCAATGTTGAAGTTGAACAAGCCAAGCTCAGACACGTGAGCAAGATTTTCTCCGATGTGCAGGAAAATTCAGGAACTTGCCGATGGCATTAGCAGGAAGAGTCATGAGATGACCCGCCACCAAGGATGACAGGGTGCGAGAATGGAGGCCAAAGTAGCGGAGGTTGGAGAAGAAGTAACGCACAGCAGCAGGACACACAAGAGATGGAATGTCATCAATGAGAAATCCCCACCCGAGGTTATGGACCAGTTGACGGAAGTCAAGGTCAAGATCAATGAAGTCGGGTAGAGGAATGTCAATGGTGAGGGATATCGGGCGGTGAGCAAAGGATTGATTATGGCGATGATAGTTGAGGGGAATGGGTTCATGGAAGAGGCGGCTATAGTAGGTAAGAGCGAAAGTGTAGGCCATTTTAGTGGCACAACGAGGAAATGAGGGAAGGGGATGGGAACTGGGTGAGTCAAAGAGCGAACAGACACACTATATAAAAAACCAGAAAAACTAATACCAAGAAGGAAAAAACACCCAAAAGGAAGGACAAAAGACACAATTACAAAAAGAAACACACACAATCAGGGAAACCAAGAAAAAAAAAACGAAAATAAATGAAAGAAAGAAAGAAATCGAAATTACGATCCCACTATTTCATTAATTGAAGACAGAGATGGCAATTATATGTCATAACACAGGAAAGTGAATCGATCTGCAGCAAGGGTTTAGTAAAAAGATCGGCAAGTTGAAATTTCGTACTAATATATTGAATTGAAATATTGCCTGATTGAACCAAATCACTTATAAAGTGATATTTAATTTCAATGTGTTTGGTCCTACAGTGTTGCACGGGATTTTTGTCATGCAAATAGTACTGGTATTGTCACAAAAGAGAGGTATGGACGAGCAGGAATAACCATAATCAGACAACTGATGTTTGAGCCACAAAAGTTGAGTACATGTACTCTGGCAACAATATATTCTTCCTCGGAAGTTGACAGAGCCAATACACCTTGTTTCTTGCAATACCAGGAAACTAGAGAAGTGCCAAAAAAACTTACAACTGCCAGAAGTGCTGCAACAATCTGTTAGATTGCCAGCAAAATCATACTTATTTTTCTAATCATTCTTATACTTTAACATACGGTAAAAGCGCATACTAACTAAGGCAAATTCACGATAAAAATCAGATTCAGAATCACTTTCAGAGTTATAATTGACAGCTCGTGATGTAAAAGCCAGAATTTTCTTACGTTTATCATCTTCCTGATTAACCTATTTAAAAACATGCTCATGACTTAGTAAAGATCCTATCAGCTCATTAATCGGTAGTATATAGGGCTGGCTATTTGGGTCGGGACCGGATGTAAAACCGGAAACTGGACCGTATAACCTGGACCGTTTAAGATCGGGACCGGATGTAAAACAATCTAATCCCGCCTTTGGTCCTAGAATTAGCAAAAAAAAACCCGAACCAATCCAATCCGGGTTAAAACCGTATTAAAACCGGAAGATTGGATAACTAAAAAAGTGACCCAGAGGAAGGCCTAGACGAGCCCACTGCCCCTTTTCCAGTGGCCCGGGCGACGCGAGCCTACACTGTAATGTAGGGTTGGAATGGCGCTCTCCCTCTCCAATCTCCAGACCTGGAGACAACATTGATTGTGACCATCAAATTCCATTCCACGAACCTGAAGAGAGATGAACGTGCAAGTTGGTTCAACCTCAAATTCCTAGTTCCCAATTTTACCCTTGAGACAATGATTAATTCATATTTATTAACCCTGTTGATCTTATAAATACATCAATAAGTGGTTCTTTATAATAACAATACATGGAGATACCCTCCCACTAGAGACAGAGATCGCTGCTACTTGCTCATACATATTGTTTTGAGTTGTTATTTTTCCCTGTTTGTGAACATAATTTTTCCAAAGAGAAAATTTGTTTCTTAATTTAAGTTCCACCTGTCGGCAGCAGCCGCCAAACTCAGAAAAATGGAGGGATGAGTAGCAGGGTAAAAACAGGTCAAAACCATATTGGGACTGGACCGGGTCAAATCTGGACCGGGTCAAAACCGGACTGTATCCAATTCAAATTTTGGTCTCCATATTTCCAAAAAGATCGGACTGGGACCGGGTCAATTCGAGCCAATTTAACCGGCCCGGACCGTATAGCCACCCCTAGTAGTATAGATAAGTTTTTAGCTTCTTCAATAACAGTCCTCTTAGGTAACCACTCTTTGGGTAGGGATCGAAGAATTTTCCTATTGAAGTCCTTAAGTTGAAAACTTCTAGCTAACCCTTTAAGTTTATTGATCAGAGAAGTGAATCTAGAATACATCTCATGAATGGATTCACAAGAAAGCATGTTAAATGCTTCATATTCATGAACCAACAGATCAATACGAGATTCCCTAATATTAGAGGTACCTTCATAAGTGCTTTCTAGTGCAGCCCAGATTTCTTTGACAGTTTCGCAGTTTTCGACTTGATCCGCCTCATCGGGATGCATCGCGGACTGAAGAATATGCATTGCACGTTGATTCAACTGTGCACTCTTTTTCTGAGCAGCGGACCAAATATTTTGCTCGTCCTCATTCATTTGAATAGGACCATTTTGCCCGACCAGCCACAGATCTTCGTCGACTCCCTAGAGAAACTGCTTCACCCGCTTCTTCCATGCCGTATAATTGGCACCAGTAAAGATGGGCGGATGGTTTATGGAAGCTTGACCAAAGGAAGAAGACGCCATGAGATCGTTGCCTTGGCAGCAGTGAGCTTCACAAGGAGTGGCTCTGATACCACTTGAAATCGGAACATGGAATGGAAAAATTCTAGGGATTCAGAGAATTTGGGGAAGCAGACTAAGGAAGGAGAGGAATATGGAGATGCAGTGTCTATGACACTCGTATTCAGTTTCTCCGTCGGTCTGGGTCCAAAAATTTCTCAGCCCAAAAGGACTTAAGAGAACAAAACACAATGGGCTGTAGTTGGGGAAGTAACGAGTCTCTCAAGCCTAGTAAATGTCAAATACTGAGGAGTCGACTTTCTTCCTCTTTCCTTAGAGCAGAACAAAACCAGAAACGGAACAGAGAAAGAAGAACAAAGAGTAGAGTAAACAGAAAACCAAACCACACGACACGACACAACTGAAAAATAAAGAAAGCACAAGCAATTTTAACGAGGTTCCCTAATCTACGGGTTAGTCCTTGTCCTAGAGATAGCACTTGCTACGTTCCGGGAGAATTTTTTTATTTGATGTTTTCACCTATAAAAGCAAAATGAAACAAATTACAAAGAACTCAAAGAAGAACCCAGATCCAATCCCATCCCAGACATGTACCACCCTTAAGTAATAACAACATATTCCTCTGATTGCCAAATTCCCTTAGAATCCCGGAAGTTTGTATCGCAACCATTCTAAGTGCTTAACTACAATTGAAAGCCTAAAATATATAGGCTGTTCTTAAGTAGCCATTGAAACCCAGAAAAGGAAGGTGAGCCAATTCTGACGAGGCTTTCTTTTCTGCACCTTTGATTTAGCTACGGTCTTGAAAGTTCAATCCTGACTTGATGTACCCCAACATATATTGAATTTTGAGTTAATTGGTATCCTTGGTTGAGCTAGCATTGACAAAAGTAAGGGGCACTAAACTTGAAAGATCGTACTAAACCCTGTGTCTAAAAGATTTTGTGACCCAATTTTTTTGTCATGTGGGATTCTAGAACCCCTCTCCTCAACACCTCTATGTGCCACTGTATCCACCCATACTTCTTCCGCATCCCGCTCACATTCAATTTGGGTCATGGTATGGACCGGTTTATTATCCTCCCAGCCCACAAAGCACCACCTTATTTGCTCAAAAGACTGGACAATTTCCTTTAATTCTTCACTAAGTTGTGGGGTATTTTAGGCTAAAATCGTGATTCAACCATTTCATATCACTAAATATCGCCTACCGATTTAGCCTCCGATCGTAAATTTTCCTGATCAAACCGCCCATATGATACTGTTTTTCAATCCTTGGTTGTGACTCATTTGCTGCCTGATGACCAGCTGGCAATCTGATTCCACTTCGCCAACAGAGAAGTTGAAACGCTTCGCCATTTTCATAACATACCTCACCGTCATGACTTCTGCAATCTCCAGCTCCTATTGCACTCTAACTCTTCAAATCACCGCAATATGAAACTTCCCTCTTTGTCTCGGATAACCACAACCATCCATGTCCCTCGATCTTTCAACAAATCTGTATCCCCATTGAATTTTTTTTTATTGAAATTTTGGTTGAATAATGTTTCTATTAAAGCAATTAATTCCTCCAAATGTGGGTTTATTGAATTATCTCCTTCTTCAATTATTCCCTTTCTCTGAATTATTTCAAAACCCCTAAAATGGACCCTGCTCTAATTAATTTCACCCTTGTCTCTGTCATAAACTCATCATCTTCTTTCCCCCATTATTTCAACCCATCACTGCTTTTCAATCTCCATCTTCTTCTTCCCCATCATCCTCAAAGTTCCCGATGGAAAAAATTCGATTGCAACTTGTAGACACCACATTTTGTCTGGAGCAACCATCCTACTCAGAACTCGGAAGAATATCCTATTTAAAATTCAAAAATGAAATTTGAAGTGAAAGTTTGAACGAGTTTGGTTGAGATTAGCAATGACAAACCAATAAATAACAACGATTTCCAAGTTCACTTTTTTATATTTAGTTCTAAAATTTATACTAGGTAAGGTTAGCAGTGGCTAATAGCTACCAAATTCGCTTTATTTAGGACAACAGTAGTACGCCGTTAACGATTGGTGGCGGTGGCTTTGGTCAAATGGGATAAGAAGACCATAGTAATCTTACTAATATTGGTTAAAATTCATAGTTAGGAACTATTTACGTAGAAGTTGGGATATGGGTTACGATTGGAGAAAAGGCAAGTAAACTGGGTTGGAAAGAATAATTTGGGTTATACAAAAATAATTACATGATCATTTTAATGATAAGTCGCAAAAATAATTACATGCGTAATTACAAAGTACAAATTTACACTTAAGAATTATTACAATTAAAAGATGAACAAACAAGAAATTAAGAATAAATAAAAAGAAAAGACTTCTTCCTTTTTCTTTTGGGCACCAATCAGAATTGGAGGCTTAGCCTTTTGAGGGTATTTGGGCCTCCATAGATCATCATCTTGGGCCAGAAACATACCAAGGACCTGCGAAAAGAAGAAACTACTAGAAACTAGCCCACACCAGCAGCCCACACTTAGGCCCAATTCTCAAACCATAAATCCAATCCAGGCCCGTAATTTTCGACCCAGTCCAATCCGGTCAACCAATCCAGTCCAGCCCGGTCAACGAGTCAACTACGGTCAATGGACTCCTTGGTACTTATCTCATCCCAAAGGGCCAACC